AGAGAAGCAGCACTGCCCCAATCAATCCCAGGGCAAGTTTTGATTTTTTTTCCAGAGCAACAAGTAGGCTGGTGAGGAGGCCCAGGGCCTAAGGAGAGACTGAAACAGGTGTGGCGAGCAGTAGGGGCCAAGGGTACAGGTGAGTGAGAAGCACCTTACATTTGACGTGATGGGGCTTCATTGTCCCTTGCCCAGTTCCATACACCTATGTTCCAAGAGTTAGACCCCAGGCGAATTTCACCCCCAAGCACGGGGTGACACAATTCGTTTTCTGGTGAGACACTAAATGCCCTGGTCAAAAAGGCCATTCCATAGGGTGGCCAAAAGCGGGGAGGGGGAGGGGGAAGGTACCCACGTGCCCTCTGGATTCTCACTGCATTTCTTTGGTGGGTTGACACTCATCTGGGCCTGACCGATAAAGGAAATGTGGGGTCTAAAATTCTCTCGGAGGCATGGAGCGGTTTAGGAGGGCTCTGGCTTTTCCTCCAGGTTGAAAGCGCACTCCCTGGAAACCACCTCGACCGCCCCTCGACCACCCAGAGGTCACGAGGGAACGCCCGGGGAAGGGAAGCCAAGCTGCTGCTGCCCCGGCCTTCCCCTACTTTTCAGCGCCCCCGGCGGGGTTAGGGCCGCAAGCGACTGCGACAACTCAGAGCCTGAGGAATGTACTTCGACCAGGAGAGAAGCAGCCTCTACTCCTTAAAAAGCATGAAATAAAGTCCTACCCAAAAGCACAGGGGAGAGGGGATTGAGCGACCGCTGGCCCGCCTCTAAAGGCCAATGATTGGAGGAGACGGGGCCCAGCGCCGGAAGTTAACTCAGGAGCTGAGTCGCATAATTGGTTGATAGAAAGAGGCTCCGCCCGACTGCGGCGTTGATTGGTGCCAGGCCCCCAGAATCTTGTGATTGGCAGGGAACAGCCGGCGCTCGCTGGGATGCAGCATGATTGGTCCAGACCACGGCCCGGCACCGCCCCGAATTGCGTGGAGACGCCCCATTCCTGGCGCCGCGCCCTCGCCTAGGCCACCGAGCTGGGGCTGGCCTCGAGTCCCGGCCGGGATCTCGCGTTGGCGCCTCGCGGCGAGGCGGGAAGAGTCTCCGCCAGACCTGGCTCAGTTGCCTCGATAGACCTCGATCTTGCTGGCCTTGGCCAGCATGTCGATGATGTGGGCCTCGAAGTCAGCGTCGTGCACGCCGGTCTTCCGGAACTCGCCCGCGTACCGGTTATTCTCCCAGTAGTGGTGCCAGTTGCCCCGGCTGTCGGCCCCGAACCCGTACACGTTCACCTGCAGGGGAGGGCGGCGCAGGTCACCCCATGTCGGGGACAGTGGAGGACATGACGCGGGAGAGCCTCGGATGGTAGTGGGGGAGGAGAAGGGAGCCGCAGCGACCTGACGTCAGCCCTGGAGGCTGGCAGCTAATGGATTCGCAGAGCGTGGAGGCACAGGAAGACAGGGGACACGCAGGCCTGATGCTAAGGACACTGACTCACAGAGGGAGACTGCTACTCCCTTTCAGCTTTCTTTCCATCCGTCTGATTGCATCAAGAAAAACGTCCCAGTTTAGGGCTAGTCCTACCTTTGCTAACTTCCTTTTAAATAGATAACATAAAGCTGGTCAGGTACCCAGTACCATATACTGAAGAATTTACCACCGGCAAAAGTGGGTGTGGTGGGCGTGGGCACTGAAGTGTATAGCACAGTAACTGCTGGCTAGCCGGATGTGGCTCCTTGAAGGACTAACCTCCATTTTTAATATACAAGAGTAGGCCTGGCGGGAGACAACCATCCTGCTGAAACTTGTTTCCATTCTATTTGTTTTTGGTTATTTTTTTTTATGGTAAGTAATATCAATTATGATAGTAGTATTCCACTTCCTTTTTAAATAAATTTAACTTTTAAATGAAGTGATTTCAGATTTGGTAAATCATGAAAGTAGTAAGTTTGGGAAATGTAGATCTATATTTTATGGCCTAGAAATGGGGGGAATCAAAGCCACTTGGTTTATGCCTACAAAAGCACATTCCTCTTCAGGCAGTGCTAAGCCCGAAGAAGGGTTGCTTTCCCTCTGTTCCCTGGGTCCCACTATTTTACCCCCGGATTTGGCTACCCACCTCATCACACACGTGCAGGGCAAAGAAGAGCACCAGCATCCCTGTGGAAGGGTACCGCCCGTGATGCTCTGTCCATCTGTCATGGATGTACTTGAAGAAGGCTGGATTATAGATCTGGACCTGGGAGGAGAAAATTTAACAGGCACATGAGGGGCTTTTGGGACTAAGACTCAGGCCAGGCTCTGAGTAGCTTCTGCCAGTTCTATCATGCTTGCTAGTGGACCCATTCATCTGTGTTCCCTGGTTCCTGCAGCCTCTTTCGAGGTCAGAAATATCAGCAGATGGGGAGTCTAAAGGTTCTGGAAGGGCTCTAGGGGACAATTGAGCCACAGGACCAGGTACACCAGGAGTCAGGTCTCCACTGTTTCCATTGAGGTGGGGATAAAGGAGCTGAGAGGAGGAGGAAGCGTACCTTTTCTTTGTCTACGCGAAGAAAAGACTTCACTGGGGCATAGGTGCTGCAAGCAAACAAAACAATAACATTTAGATGGCCGTGTCAGACAGAGGGATGCCTTTCCTCCCACTCAGGCCTGATTGATTAACAGCCTTGCAAGAGGCACCCGTACCCCCCACCTGCCCTGGCTTCCAGACTGCTTTCCCATACCACATCACTGTAGTACCTCACTCAGAAGCCTTCAATGGCTCCCCATGTCCTTCAGGATAAAATAAGGATGTCTTAGACAAGCATTGGGGCCTTCCATAATCCAGCCCCAACTTCTCACAACTCTCTGCTATGAACTGTCCACTTCAGTTAGCTGATAATCGCAAATCCTCCATGTGTGTGCTCTTTCCTGGGTCCACAATGACTCTCAATACTATTCATATTTGGCATAGATCCCTCCTTCCCAATTAGTTAGCCATGAATAACCTATACTTCCTTTTCTGCGAATCTGTGGGACTTAAATTCTGTAGCACTTGTTTTAACTTTGATGTCTCCCAAACATAAGATAAAGTCAGGAAATTGTAACTTGTACTTCTGTGTTTAAAAATGGCATGAGGACTACAGGCAAAAGGTGGAAATAACGCAATTGTCCATTGATGGATGAATGGATAAAATGTGCTATTTCCATTCAATGGAATACTTATTATTCAGCCTTTAAAATGAATGAAATCCTGACACATGCTACGACATGGATGAACCTTGAAAACATCTGCTAAGTGAAATTAGGCCAGATGTAAAAGGACAAACACTACATGATTCCAATTATATGAAGTACCTAGTATAGTCAAATCATAGAGACAGAATAGTGGTTATCAGGGGCTGAGGGGAGGAAGGAATGGGGAGTTGTTATTTAACAGCTACCGAGTTTCCATTTGAGATGATGAAATTTTAGCTGTGGGTAGTGGTGATGTCTGTTTGCACAACAATGTGAATGTACTTAATGCTACTGAACTGTTTGATTAAAATGGTAAATTTTAAGTTATATGAATTTTGCCACACACACACAAAAACCATGGTGAGACAGAGTTGATTAGCGGTTCCCTAGGGTTGGGAGGTGGGGTGGAGGGAGTGGGGGTAATGGCTAAGGTGTGTAGGTATATCTTTAGATCTTTATCTTTAAAATTTTTCATCTTTAGAATATGAAAGTGTTCTAAAATTGACTGTGGTGATGGTTACACAACTCTGTGAATAGACTAAAAGCCACTGAATTGTGCACTTCAAAAGTGTGAATTGAATGATATGTGAATTATATTTCAAGAAAGCTGTTAAAAAAACACGTGGGGAACTGAATTTCCTGAGGCTTCCAGTTGTGACGTCTCTGGCAACTTCTCTCAAAGAAAGTTCTCAGAAGGCAGAGCTCCCACATTCAGGAGCCACTTCCTGGAAAGGAAGACCAAAACCAGATTGTCCTTTCTCACCTTTCTACCACCAGTATGTTGGTTGGCACCATTCAAGAAGTGACACAACACACACTCTGTCCTCAGCTAATGTAAGGGGCCCTCTTTACTACTATCTCCCTCCTCACTAGCTCCTCTTGGCCAAAATATTCATTAAAGGAATTCTAAGATCCAGTCCCCAGGTAGATTCCTCCCCAGGTGGTCCTGTCACCCATATTGCACTCCCAGTCAGCAGAGTGGCTCACAATCGTATCTGCCCTGTGGATAGGGCACTGGCGATCCACAGCAGGTCCAGGGCCTTGAAAGGCACCAACACAAAGCTGACATTGGCGGGCAGGTTCTTGGCACTCTCCGGGTACATGAAATGGTGGGTGGTTCGGCTGCCAACATCCTGCTCAAAGCCCACGGTTGGCGCCTGATTCATCCTGCAGGGACAAGAAAGTGACATGAGAAGAAATTGCCACAGAAACTGGTACAAGATTTTTAGAGGACAATTTGGTGCTAGCCATCAAAAATAGATATGGGTATATACTTGGACCCAGCAATTCCATTCTAAAAATCCGGCCTATAAAAATGGTTGTATAAGTGTACAAAAACGTGTACAAGGATATTCACTGCAATATCACTTACAATAGTGAAAAGAAATTGTAGAATGTATGTACGGGAAGCCACTCCTGTCAAAAATGATGTTTATGGACACATAGTATGCATAAGAACAAGATTGGAAGGGAGCACAGCCTGGGGCAGAGACTATTAGGAACAGGGAGAGGCAAGGAGAACTTAAGCTTTATCTCTATTCTCAGAGTTTTCTTTACAACAATGTACTTTCCAAAACCACTGCCCTTACTAGGGCATCTGAGTTCCTGCCTTCAGTCTCAAAGGAGATGGGGAACCCTACTCTAACTCTGTAACTTTGGCCAGTCACTTGGTTATTTTGTGTCTCCTTGTCACCTCTATAAAAAGGGGTTAGTAATAGTATCAAATACCTGAGATTGTTGTGAGGATAAGATAAAATGCTTGACTCCATAGTAAGTGCTCAAAAAATATTAACCGTTTGACAACAGAAAAGTTCTGAGATGTCCTAAATTAAATTAGGACAGGCCAGAGGGTGAGAGGAAGAGGTAAGAGTTAATAAGTTATCAGAGCCACAGGCCCAAACCAACAAAAGACCCCTCACATTCCTGAATGTGCATTAACACTTGCAACTTCCAGGTGACTAAAAAAAATAGCAAACCACCAGACTCTACTTCATCCTGCTTATGAATGAGCTGTCTGGCTTGTTGCCCACAACCCATCCAGAAGTAGGAAATACATAGTTCATACATTTTGACCCATTCAAATAATGTAGCCATCAGAATGAATGAAGCAGATTTACATGTGCTGTAATCAACAAGCCCAAGAGCTATTCAGTGAAAAAAACCAAGTCGTGTGAGGTAACCCACTTTTTCCTTATAATACATGTCTCTTGAATACCTACTGTGTACAGCAGGAGAGAATTACAACACAGAAAAGGTAAACTTAAAACTACATAGTGTGTTATAAACGTTTGACCCACACTGGGAAACAAAACAAAAACCAAAATAAGTACATAGCGTGATACCATTTTTTGTAAAAAATAAAAGAAAAAATACTTTCGGTTGTGAATAGAAAAAATCCAGGATAGTATTAAAATTGTTGACAATAGTTACTCTTGGGGAGGGATAATTCATTTTTTACTGTATACATTTGTTTGTTTGTTTGTTTGTTTTCATCAGTAAACCTCACCTCTGTGAGGAACACAGCAGGTTGGAGAGCTGCTGGAGCATATAAGGAAGTAGCAGTCCTTTTTATTCATTCATGTATTTATGGTGAGCCTACGATCTGCCAGGCCCTGCCCTAGGAGTTATGGATCTATCTGCTGGCCAGCAAAGGCCGGACCAGCTCAGCTCCATTTGGAGCTGTCAGCAGGGCTCAGGAGACACATAGGAGGGGGAGGCACCTGGGGATG